ACTGATTGAAACTCATTTCATGATTTCCTTCACTATGCCACTTGGAATGATATTTTTAATCATCCTGTTCAGAAATGTGTCACTGAGGACTCTACCTGGCTGAAAGCTGGCATGAAAGCTTTTATTCAAATATTTATTAACTGAGACAAGAAATGGCTCATTAATTTTAATGCTTCCACAAATAAATTGATCTCTTTTAGTCATCTGAGAGATCTGCTATGTATTTAGAGATTCTTAATAAAATCCCTAGAAGAATTTGTTATGACCTGGCATCTTAGTTAGTCACTTACCCACTGCTATAATATATCTTCCCTCTGCTTTTTCTATAAATATTTTCATGGTAATTGTACTGATCAACTTTCCTTTTTGGTACCACGACTTTATGAATTCAAGTGCAATACCAGATCTTGGCAATGTCTCGTCATTTTACAGTTGACCTGGTTAGATGTAACCCTAAATTCTATGGAACAATTTCTTTTTGTTTGTGGAACTCTTTGATGGAAAGCAAGAAGCAATGCATAAATAAATTATCAAACTATGTGTGTGTATGTATATACACACACATATATTACAGGGGTGAAACTCATACAATATACATATGTATATACTTATATGAATATAAGTATATACTGAAAATGTTATCACAAAAATATTGACTTGCATGATAAAAATGACATATGGTAATCAACAATATAATCATTGCATAAAATAATATTCAAAATTGATTCTAAAATGAATGAGGTTGGTAGAATACTTAGAATTTACTGACGGAGATGCAAATGAAAAATTCTGTATTCTGTCAATCTCATATATAATCAAGAATTTTTTATAAAACCCAAAAGAGTTAAGTAAATGAAAAATAGATACTCACCAAAATCCCATTGAAGTGTCAAACCAAATTTAGTAAAAACAGAAAGAAAAAATCCAGATTTTCTGATAATAACATTTGTAGCATCATACCCATCACTTGGTATTTCAATGTCATTTATTGTTGGGCTTTTGGCTAACATCATATGAATGACATTTCCTTTGAGGTGAATAGTCACCTCTTTTGTGCAAGTTACACCTGTTAGTCCACATTTGACATTACGGATTATTATAGAGAAAGCTTTATCTTTACTTGACTGGGCCATCACATAGGCACAATCTCCTTGAAATGAAAAATGTTTGCCATCAAATGTGCGGAAATGGGGATCTCCAGATACCCAACAAGTAGCTGGAAAAAAAATCAAATGCAAAGAGATATAACAGAAAGTTGCACATATACACTATTATTCATATGTATGTATGTATATCTATCTAGCTATCTATCTCTCTCTCTCTCTCTCTCTCTATATATATATATATATATATATATATATATATATATATATATATATACACACACACACACACCTATCAACATTTACAAATATATTCTATATTTTGCATTTTTTCTTTAGTGAAAAGTCATTTTTATTAGGTGTAATCTAAATTGTTAAACTTTATATTTTCATAAGTTGATCCTTTCAGAATTTTTATATATCTCAATAAAGGACTTCTGCAATTTTTCAGGCATCTGAAATTTCTTCATTAATAATATTATGTAAAGCCCAAAATAAGTGATATTCTGAATATGCAATATTTTATAGCAGATGAGTGAAAATTTTCAAACCAAGTTGTATCAAGTGTTGTTTGTTGCCAAAAAAATCTGCAGTCAAGCATTATCCTAATGGAATAATGTGAATTTTTAAAAGAAATTTTGTGCAACCATTTTTTTGTAAATTTTGTACTTTATATATTTCTGCCGGTATAATAAATGTTTGTAATTTCAAATTTTGCAAGGGAGTCTCAAGTCTTGTTTGTTTTTGTATGAGCTTTTTTTTATATTTGGTATAAGTGAATGGATCCTCTCTCATCTCCCATCCCCACCACAAATTATTTTACTTTTCGCAAAAAAATTAGTTATTGTAAATTAATTTTTATAATATATCAAATTCAGTGTAAATAATAATAAAAAAAGAATAATAGAGGATTGATACAACTAAAGAGTTTAGAAATAAGTCGACTGAAAGCTAAACATGTTTTTATTCCAAAGCAAAAGAAAGCTGAATCACACGACTCCAAATGTTATGGCTTTTTTATCAGTAAATATCTTTTTTTATCTCTTTAGTATTGTCAATCAAATCAAACACCTATAAATGCAACCCTGAAACAGAAATTTTAGTCTTAGTAATTAATCTTAAGTAAATTTGCCATTTATTTCATTTTTATCAGTTTGTAAAGTTTGTGTAGTTTAATTAATTCAGGTTCATTCTTACCTGGACAATCTTTCACATCCTGGTCAATCCAAGTTGCATTTATACACACTCTGAAAATAAAATAAAAGTAAATTTTTACAATTCTCATTATTATTTATTAATCCAGCACAATTTGCATTTGAATAAAGAAAATTATATTCATTATTTTTTAATTTAAAATTACAGAATTTAAATAAAAAAGCACTTAAGATTTTGTAAAGTAAATCTTGTCATGAAAGCTTTGACTTTTTAACATTATTGTCTCTGATTTGTGATATAAATGAGAATATATATTTAGAAATTTGCTCTTAGTGAAATTCAAACTCATTATTTCCACTATTTTTTGTTCTTTATTCTTTCTGAATATTGTTAGAAATGAGTTGCTTCTCATTTATTCTCAGTACAAGACTATTATCAACAATGTCAAAATTTCTCTCATAAGTTTACAAATAAAACAGATTCAAAGAAAAGCAATGGGTGCCAAGAGTGGAAGTTAAAATGATATTGGTAATATTAACTAATTGAATCAAGTAAACTGAATAAATTATAATTTTGGATTTAGTCATATAATTTGAAGATTTTAATAGTTCCAATGCAGTTAGCCATTATTATGACCTGACAATAAAATTGTATATAACATGAATTTAGTACCAAAACAATTAAATGACAGATTTATAACTTTAAGCAATAATTTTTCAGATATTGAAAAAAGTTCAGTTATACTATATTTAAATAAATATTTCTTCCTTACAATTGTTTGCAGCCGATTTTCTTCACAGATCCCGCAGATTCCCATGTTGTCCCATAACGACAAGGACATGAATTGGGTAAAATGCAAGTACCCTGGAAATAATTTTTTAAAAAAAGTTGAACTTTGTATAACTAGATATTTTGGTTTGGTTTTTGTTATTTTAACACAAGTTTACATTATAAATCAATCAAATTTGTTTGCTAATTACCAATTATTTTGCAAATTTACTTTCTTTTCCTATATCTCTTCCTCTGGACAGTTATTCTGAACTAAAAATTTACAAATTATCTTTCAGATTTTAATTGCAAATTTGGTTGTATTAACATTTATACAAATATAAAACAAGTAGTCAGAAAAACCATTACATACATCTGTATTCACTCACACACACACACACACACACACACACATATCTTTTTCCCCTTTCAAGTATTATTTCTGGCATCAAAAATAACTTCTGTTTTGAAATGAGATCTTGGTTTACAAAGAAAATAAAATGAGTTGTAATATTTATGTTATACATTATGTTCACATTTTTATTCAAGTACAAATAAATGAAACTAAACCACAATATTTTTGTCTACTCATGCTTTTCTTAGCTATATCTGTATCCAAAGAAAATTTCCTCTGAAAGTTTTCAGGATGAAAACTTGTTTCACAAAATACTTTTCTTGGCAACTACACAATCATAGATTCTATCATACATACCAACTTTTAATTGTTCAACAACATGGCTCCCCACCTATGTGACACAGAGAGAGAATGAGAGTATGGAAAACACACACACACACACATACACACACACATATATATATTTTTTTAGTGAAATTGGAGTAGATTTGAATAGCGAAATTAAATCAGAGCATTTTGTTTACTGATGGGGAAATCTTATCTAGAGCAGAAGTTGTACCCCTTGAATCTGGATCAGCAGTAGACAATGGAAATGGTCAAAATAATTTTTATCGATTAAAAATTGAAATAGAGTTGAGTAAGCTAGAAGGAACTTTGGAATTCACATGATTTAGGTTGAAGCAGCCAGAACCCCGTGACAATCGCGTGCGAAGTAGTAGGGCCGAGGGTCAGTTATAAACAGCCGGGTTTATCTATATAAACGCGTAGTTATGCTGAAAAAGTGAGACTGGAGAAAATTCTTAAAGAGAGAAGGGAGAATTGGCCCGGGCGAGCGTTGCGAGGAGGAACGCCGCTATAACTTTAAGCCCCGCACAGAAATCTTTATCCCTCCATCGCAAGAGTCATATATCTTTCTGTAGATTTTATTTTATTTATTTATTTTTTTTTTTTTTTGCTGCATTCTAAATTTTTTAGAGCAAACTCCCCAGCCGTGTCTACATCTTCAGTCGACCGTGAATGGACGGACATCACTTCTGCTTTCTGGATCAAACAAATCACAACGTGGGCAGGAAGCAGGATTAAACCAGCGGAACTGTCGAATAATCTATGGATGCTCAAAGGACCTATGGCCACTCCGTTAAATTCGGTTAGTACCGAGTAGACACCTCAACCACAGATCACCTTGGGGTCATGGGAGTCCCCGAAAAATCGATGGGTTTCAGGAGGCTGATAGGTAGCATGAAGCTACCTACTTAGAAAGGAAACCCTGCGGACCTGTAAGAATGGATTCTGTATATTCAGAAGAGGCAGGACCAAGAAATAGTGCCCCAAGCTTACGACGCCGCAGGTGTCCAAGTTCATAGGGGTGGGGTACAAAGAAAACCCGGCCCTGACGTGGACCGAGCTTAAATCTGCTCTGGTGCGGCAATACGCAAGTGAGCGTACGGCCATTGACGCAGTCAGGAAATTATTCCGGCTACAGCAACAAGAAGGAAAGACAAATGAGGAATTGGGGAAAGAATCGCGGTGCTAGCGGTGTTAGCTTTTCCGGAGTTGCCGACTCGGGACAGTGGTCCTATTCAAGCCTTGTTGGCTGATGTGTATGTGGACGCGCTGAGTTACATGGGCGATGTTCTGAAAGGGGGGGGGTGGCTGTCAGCCGGGATGCAGCCATAGAGGCTGCTCGGACCAGCGAACGACTCTGGGATAGAATAAGAGGGGCCAAGGTAGTGATGAAAAAGAAGGACCGGGAGCGTATCCGGATACGGGACCAGAAAGAAGAGGTGGAAGAGGACTGGAAGGCTGAGGCAGTTCCCAATAGGAGAGACTGGGATCTGTGTCATGGATTTCACAAGCCCACACCGGGTCGATATGGGCTGGTGTGTTGGACTTGCAAGTATTGTGGACATCGGGCCCGCGACTCTACGACAAACTATGGAGGCGACCAAGGTCATTGGGGCCGAACTGCACGACTTGTGGCGAGTTCGAGCACAAGATTTGGTGGTGTACGGCAGAGGGAGACCGTAAACTGGGAATAAAGCGAGTTAATACGCTGGTGCCCCCTACCGGAAAGGAAAAGGGTCCGGAAAACGCCGATGGGTCACCCGTGAAAAAGTAAGAGGCAAGGTGGCCCCAGTGCAAGTAAGACCACTGAGATGCTGGACATGTGGTGTGGTCGGGCACTTTTCGGCCACTTGTAAGGAGCGAAGGTGTTGGCGCTGTGGAGGAGCGGGTCACCTGAGACGAACCTGTCCTCGCAGGAGAAAGATGGACTACACCGAACGGAACAACCCTAACTCGAATGGAGGGGAGAAATGGGTTGCTAGTCCGAGAAAAGAGGGTCATTCGAGCTCTACCCCACCCAGGAGGGCCCCTAGGCAGAAATTGGAGCCCCTAGAAAAAGGTGAACTCCTGTCACCGACTCCCACGTCTCGGTTGTCGAGAAAGCGGGAGGAAGGGAGAGAACATACGGGAAGGAGAAAGGCACAGGTATACCGTTTGCTGAAGGAAGGGCCAGACTTCACCAGTAATGTGTTGCTGGGAGACAAGAAGGTGGAGGTCCTTGTCGATACGGGAGCTTCAGTGTCACTGGTTAGCTCCAAGGTTTTTAGACAGTTGGGACTGAAAACGAAGCTTAGTCCTGTCGATCTACTGATAAATCAGGCTGATAGCATCAAGATGAGAATAGAGGGTATGACGTGGCTACCTTTCCAGTTGGCAAGAACCATAGGTAAACTTAAGGTTTATGTGACACCTGACTTGTATGGTGAGCAAATTTTGGGGAGTGACTGGATTAGGCAGAATAAGGCACAGATCCGTTTTGACCCCGCCACCCTAACATTGGACGGGGTAGGGATATTGTTGGAAGAGGATAATTATGAACAATTGCCAGTGGTGGCCCAGACAGATATAAAGCTTCCCCCTAGGACTACTGAATCTGGGAAGAAGATTATAACAGAAGGATTGCTGAGCAGTGACCTGTACCAAGTGGTCCCTACTGATAGGTATGATAATAATGAAGGGGAAATAACCGTGTGTGATTCGTTGGCGAAGCGGTCGGGGACCAATAACCAATACTGCAGGGAGAGGAGCTGGCACAGGCGTGTCCAGTGAGAGAAGTCGAACAGGTGAGAGAGTATGGAATAAGGATAGGCCTGGGAATAAGACAGGTAGCGAGAAAATAAGGGATGAAGATAACAGCTCCTGAGCGTTACAGGAGGAAATTGAGGGGGTTGCTGAACGGTAATCGGGAGTTAATAGCCATTACGGATAAAGAAGTGGGACAGACGGAGACAGTTGAAATGAAGACAGACACGGATAATCACCCACCTATTAAGTTAAGACCGTATAGGACCCCAATCCACAAAAGAAAATTAGTAGAGGACGCAGTGAATGAAATGATGGAATCAAGGATAATCTCTCTGAATTTTTCCAATAGTGATTGTTGAAAAGAAGGATGGAGGGCATAGGTTTTGTGTCTGGCTTTCGTCAATTAAATGCCATTACGAAACCGCTGGCAGTGATCCTCCCCTTGATTGATGATATTCTAGCTCTTTTAGGAGAGTCTAAATGTTTTTCCACCTTGGATTTGAGGTCGGGATATTGGCAGGTAGCACTTAGCAAAAACGATCAGGAAAAGACCACTTTTACCTGCCACATGGATCTCTTCAATTTTAGAGTAATGCCGTTTGGGTTAGCAAACGCCCTGGATGTATTTAGTCAGTTAATGGCCATCGTATCGAATGGCACTGAGGCATTTGCCATGGCGTATCTAGATGACATCATGGTGTTTTCAAAATCACCGGAGGAGCATTTTGAACATTTGCAGAAGGTGTTCGATAGGTTAAGAGAACATGGATTAAAGTTAAAATCATCGAAGTGTCAGTTTATGAAAGAAGAGACAAAGTACTTAGGGTTTATCATAAACAAAGAAGGAATAAAAATGGATTTAGACAAAGTAGAGGTTATAAGAGCCACGCCCGCGCCGAAGAGATCATTGTCAGGTAGAGGTGTTGGCTGATGTAATGTTACCTAAAGCAACCAGTGTCTCTGACGGAATTTGGGCGGTGGCGAATTATCTAAGGTGTGTGAAGGGAAGCCCACCACTACGATAAGAGTTATTCCCCCTTTGTTTTTTGTAGAGCTACTCATTGGTTATGGAGCTCATGGTCCATCTATCTCTTTATCTCCCTACTACCAAGCAGAAGAGAAGTTTGAAGAGAATGAGGCTTTGTTAGATCCGGTAGGAACGAATACCAGTGGATGGACGGGATTGTGGGAACCCATTGTAAGAGAGATTCCTAAGATGTCGCTAGAAAAGATGCTGGCGTTGTTAAAGACAATCGATAAGATTGATCTTGGATCGTTGAAGTCGGAGTTAGGATAGGTACGCCGAGAGAGAATTTGGTTGCTATAATAACCTGGCCGACCGTTGTGGGAATTATACTAATGGTAGTCGTAGCCTTGCTGGTTTGGTGCGGTGTTGTCGACCGAGCAGAATAAACTGGCACGAGAGTGCATGAGTGAAGGAGGGATTCCACTTAGTGCACTTTACCAAAGTAGGTCCGACCCGACTGCATTGGGACCCCTAATTGATATTGAAGAAGAGTCCACGATTGTCGTGGAAGGACCTGAACCTACAAAAGATTCGACAAAGCCTGTTGAGAAGGCGAGACAAAATCGGAGGGACAGATTTACGAAATAAATCAAATTTTTTTTTTATTTTTAGTAATGAGACTGAAATAATTGGTAAGGGGTGTTTCGAACTTAAAAAAAAGGTTCTATTGCACGAGATCACCAAAACAGTGAAGTTTAACCGGAAGTTGCATGTACATATGTATCGTAAGGACAATGAAAATGTAAATGGGCATAATGAGCCCTAAAAAGAACTGAGGACTCTACCTTTGCATGCTGGAAGAGACGTATGTTTAAGTAGCCCCCTAGTAAGAAGCATGTTGGACTGGGTTTTCTCATATTTTGTTGATATGAAAGCTCGTGTGTCATTTACAAGTAAATGACAGATGGGTAGGGGATGAAATGTGACACAGAGAGAGAGAGAGAGAGAGAAACACACACACACACGCACGTATATTTTTTTTAGTGAAATTGGAGTAGATTTGAATAGCGAAATTAAATCAGAGCATTTTGTTTACTGATGGGGAAATCTGATCTAGGGCAGAAGTTTTACCCATTGAATTTGGGCCATCAGTAGACAATGGAAATGGTCGAAATAATTTTCATCGATTAAAAATTGAAATAGAGCTGAGTAAGCTAGAAGGAACTTTGCAATTCACATGATTTTGGTTGAAGCAGCCAGAACCCCGTGACAATCGCGTGCGAAGTAGTAAAGCCGAGGGTCAGTTATAAACAGCCGGGTTTATCTATATAAACGCGTAGTTATGCTGAAAAAGTGAGACTGGAGAAAATTCTTGAAGAGCGTTGGGAGGAGGAACGCCACTATAACTTTAAGCCCCGCACAGAAATCTTTATCCCTCCATTGCAAGAGTCATATATCGTTCTGAGACGATTTAAGAACAAGATAATCACATACACTCTTTCTGTGTCTAGAATCCAGTGTGTGAGTTTTTTACTTTTCTTTTCTGTAACCCGTTTCTCTTCTCTACTATTCTTTTCTGGTATATAAAGGACATTAACAATTCAACCATTGAATCGATGTTTGTCCGGCTTTCTGCAGATTTTCATTTTTTTTTTTTTTGCTGCTGCATTCTAAATTTCTTAGCGTAAACTCCCCAGCCGTGTCTACATCTTCAGTCGGCCGTGAATAGACGGACATCACTTCTGCTTTCTGGATCAAACAAATCACAACGTGGGCAGGAAGCAGGATTAAACCAGCTGACCGGTCGAATAATCTATGGATGCTCAGGGGACCTATGGCCACTCCCTTAAGTTCGGTTAGTACCGAGTAGACAACTCAATCCCGAGAGTAAGACGCCGGAGGTTGAGGGACCGGGGCGAAAGTGTTAGACCTAAGTAATACCTCAAAATGCAATACTGTTCGCTACTACAAAGAACACAACATTGTTCAATTTATTTTTGTCATCATGTAACATGATACCATTAAATAACTCAAAACCTGTTATTAATTCTTTTAATAAACTAATGATCTGCTATAAAAAATGCAATATCATTCAGTTCATATTTAAAAACTTACATTTGCCACTTTAGTCTTTATTAAAATAGGGAATTCAGAATATTCAAAATATTGTAGAATTATATTTTACAAAGGTAATGCATGCTTTTTTTAATTTTTAACTGAATATGTAGTTTTTTATATATATGTATATATAGTGTTTTTTTATTTTCCAAAAACGGTCAGCACATGGTGGCCAGTTCATAGTTGATATCGAGTATTGGCTTTTTCTTTTTTATTATTAATGCTTTCATTATTTTTAGCCGCTATCATGGTATTTCCCACAAGTATGTTGCAGGCTGTTTGGTAGATTTTCATTTGTGTTTAAATGGGTAATCATGTAAGATGTCTTCTTGTTAAGCATGTAGTGGTATGTCCAATATAATTATTTATGAATTTGGTTGAATCATTAAGGTTCATGTAAATTCATAAATAGTATTAGGCCTCTGTACTTTGGATCTTGAAAGTTGATGATAAGGTTAGCCATTTTAAATTTTTCATAATAGATAATTGTGCAGTAGTCTCTGGTGGGGCTGCTTCATGCCGTGATGAAGGATACTGCTACAGCTGTATCTCTGGACAACTATACATGCGATTCCTGTGGACATGTCTGTCTCTCTGCCTCTCAGTCTTGCACCAACCAATACACACATGAAACTAATCAAAATACAAATGAACAAAACTATCGAACCCAAAAAACAATGTAGACCCCTCGTATACCATCTCATACACCAACGTGAGGTGTCTACGCTCCAACTTTCCAGAAGTGAAACACCATCTTCTCCAGTCTAAACCAGACCTTCTTCTACTTCATGCGAAATGTCATATAAGAAGAAAATGAGTAACTACCAACACTAAGGTTCGAGCGTGACATCCTGGACTTATGAATATGTATTTTCCACCAGGTGTATAAATAGCGATGTCAGGCTACTGACTACAGTGATTATTGAGTGACTATTGAGTGGAACTATCCAGTCGAATTAGTGTGAATTATTGTGCGTCGATGATTTGAGTTTTGATTTAGGATTTACTTGAGCCGTTTAGTTGTTCTGTCCTCATATTTGGGTAGTATCACCGCTCCAATACCGACTTACTTGCATTTGCTGCAACCACAATCTCTTAGGGTCAAAATGAGTTGGCGACAAGTCCGACGTTGGAACTTTTTGATCTCTTCGAAAACACTTTACATTTATCTGACCAGTCCCATTTAACGTCTTTGAAATTTATTCAAAGCTGCTGTTAGTTTATGCATGTTTGTTATATATACATGATAGTAATCAGCTAACCCGAAAAATGCTTGTAACTTTGATACATTTGTAGGGGCGGGTATGTCCCTTATTGCACTCGTCCTTGAAGGATCTGGTTGTCTTCCATTCGCGTCGATAATTTGTTCTATGAATTTCACTCTATTCATAAATATTTCACACTTTAACATCACACGTAGTCTTCTTTCAAAAACTTTTTTCACATCTTCCGTTTCGCGTTTCACTTTTTTTTGTGCACAATAAAAACCGGTGAGCATTGTATTCGATATTTATTATGTACAAAATACATCATTTTGGCACAAGGCCGAAGAGGAATGGGGAAAGGGTGGTCATCACTATCTTAGTTCTAGTTAATCACAAGCACAACCCATTCATGCAATACAATTTCTCCATTTACCACAAGAACGCATCCTTCACCATTCAATCCTACATATACCACAATATAAAATATATACAGGGAATCTACAAAACACCCCCTGATATAAAATTTCGTCATGGCTCTAATTTCAATTTTTTTTTTATAAAAATATATATAATATAATATATATATAAATATATATAAATTTACTAAAACATGAAATGAGGCAGGAGGGGATGTACCCAGTAAACTAACAAAAGATTCGAAACAAAACAAACTAAAACAAAACTGCTGTTAGTAGGACCCATTCATAATAAATAATAAGAATGGCCGCTGTATTCTGCCGATAGAAAGAATCAAGAAGCACACTCACTAATGGAGAGGGAAGGATAAAAATAAATGACAGAAAGGGGAAAATCAAATTCTGATCCAGTCGAGATGAGAAAAAAAGGTACAAGAACAAACTGAGGAAGTTGGGAAACTCGACATGCGTCATAACAAATGAGAATGCCGTGAACAGGCCAGGAGCAACACTTATCACATTAATTAAGAAAACAAATAGTGTCTATCTTAACCAGGGGGATGGATCACAGGAAACCGCCCCGGTGTGACCAAGAGGACTTAAAAAAGGAACCCTATTACACGAACCAAGCTCGAATTTTCACCCACTTTTGCTGAAATCTGTCGATACCAAGCGCTTAATAATCAGTTCTGATCTTCACCTTCAGCTGATGCTGAAAGAATCAGACAAGAGCCTGGTGAGAATAGCGTTCGTATCGCAAGATTTCCTCCATTGGCGTCGTCCAGGTCACCATTCTTGCCACGGCTAGCAGCCTAAGAACACTATTCGTTTCTCCCCATAATACGGGGCAATACATTATCGTAGACGCATGCGAGATCGATGAGCACGAGTCGATTGGGAGCGATACAAGCCATCAGCTTGCCGACATTGTTCCAGAAAAGGCACACCTGAGGACTGGTAGAATAAGTGTGAAATCGTTTCTTCTAAACCAAGCTAACACCGATAATAGTTGGGTATGTCTGTCCAGGCGATCTGAAGAATCTGTCATTGAGAGATAGCATGTTCCGAATCAATCACCAGGTAAGCGAAAACTCAGGATTACTGTGGCAATTCGCTGCTGGCACCCAACACCAAAAAGAGCGCAACTCGGCCACCGACAAACCGAAACGTCTACAAAGTGGATACAAGACCCTTCGAGGCTGTGAAAGGTTAATGGACCCAGGAACGACCTTCAAGTTCGCTCGACACATGTTGAGAAAAGTTGATTGTTTCCCGGACCTACGACGGTACTTAGCCTAGGAAATGGGGGGTAAGGCTAGAGAAGTTGTCACTAACACTAGTGAGTCATCGATACGCCTCGAGTGTGGCAATTCCACCCCACCCGACACGGACGCTGGACACAGCATTCTTTGCGGACCTTCTGCTTGCGACCACCCCACAACAGGTGGACAACAAGCGCTCAACCACCTCCATACGTTCCTTGGAAAGAGGAAGTACAGACAAGCGGCAAAGGATGAGAGGAAAAACGTAAGTGGCATACGCCTCAGCCCTACCCTTCCAGGACAACCTCCTTCGAAGCCAAGTCCCAACCGACGCTCCGACATTTACCTGTACTTGTGACCATTTTTTCTCCAGCTATACCCTCTAGGATCGTGCAGGTTGATCGAAATTTGTCGGCCCTTCACAGCGCAAGTCTGATCAGGTCCCAACAGAATATAGGCAACAGACTGCAAAGGCTTCGTCAGGATCTTGGCTAAAATCTTTAACTCTGTGTTTAGCAGAGTTATGGGCTCACAGTCGTCTAAATCCCTTGCCCTTTTTCAACAGCATGATCACAGCCCTGAAGATCCGGTCGGAGATTGACTGCTGGCGGAAACAGTTGTTGAACACGACAATCAAAATCGGAACAAAGATATACGACAGCCTCAAGTACAATTCACAGGGCAAATCATCCAGACCAGGCGACTAGCCTCTGTCGACGTTCAGTGCAGCGTAGCCCTCGCCCTCTGTAATCTCCTCCTGACAGCTAGCCGCTTCAGTCAGCCAAATAGCTGAGAAACTCTTCGTCACAGAGACCAGGCTCCTTGGTAAAGCGGCTCTCGAAATGCCTCACACACATCCTCAGTCGATGTCAGAGTACGCACTTCCGAGGTCTTGT